GCGCTGTCCAGTCCCCCGACTAGTGGCGGTTTATCTTGAGAACGGGGTGTAACGTGCTGTGTCTGCTCGGCCCCATAGTGGGCTGAGACTCCTTCCTGTCTTCCCAGTCTCTTAATGCTGCAGTCCCCAACCCCGGGCCGTGGACCAGTGCTGGTCTGTGGCCTGTTAGGAGCCGGGCAGCACAGCAGGAGGTGACACAGGGGGGACAAGCGGGCGAAGCTTCATCCGTATTTACAGCCACTCCCCACTGCTTACATCACTTCCAAACTCCACCTCCTGTCCGATCAGTGGGGCATTAGGTTCTCACAGGAGCGGGGACCCTACTGTAAGCTGCGCGTGGAGGGATCTAGGTTGCCCCTTATGAGAATCTAACGCCTGATGGTCTGAGTGGAGCTGAGGGGGTGATGCTAGCGCCGGGGAGTGGCTGCAGATGCAGGTTATCACTAGCAGAGAGGTTTGACTGCACAGAGACCATAATAAATCAATTATCAATTGCTTGCAGACCCATATCAAAACCCTACCAGAGAGTGGCAAGTGACAGTTACGCTGCATCTGGTGGCAGGCTTTATAGTGGCAAGTGAGCATCTTACTTCGGTTGTACAGCTGCATCTTTCCCCGGTCCGTGGAGAAATTGTCTTCCATGAAACTGGTCCCTGGTGCCAGAAAGGTTGGGGACCATTGTGCTGTCCAAATGCATTGCCTGGTGTGCACATCATATTCCGGTTTCAGCTTATTCAACTATAAAATTTTCTTTCTCTATTATCTTTGCGAAGGGATTTTCTGGGTTGGAGAAATTATTATTTTTTTAATTGTATTTCCCAACAGCAGCAACTGTTACGGTGGTGGCAGCGCCACCCAGGGCAGGGGTGTCAGCCTGTGTGGGATCCAGTTACCAGAATCATCACGTTACTTAGATAAGCACAGATGGAAAACTAGGTATGAACTTATGCTTTCAAGTTGTAGGCAACAAAACCCAAAGCTATAATTTAGAAATGCAATACAGACATAGGCCAGAGATTAAAGTGAACCACTTAAATCTGTCACTGGTGACACTTGTATGGGAAACCGAGTCAGTGTCTGCAACCTGGGGCCGGCTCTTGGGGGTGAGGTGAGGGGAGGGTGTGGCCAGCGTTCCCTTTCCTCTCCCCTCTTCCAGCTCAGCCCACGGAAGCTTCTTTCTACCATGTGCATGTGCTGCCTTTGGCCTTCCCTGGGCATGAACAATTACCTACAGAAAGTCTTTCCTGATCGCCCCTCGTGCAGAAAGTCTAACCACAAATACACATGCAAACGCCGGCAATAGACAACGTGTGGTCACCCAGACTAATTGTGACAGAACATCATTCCTGAGAACTCTCAGGCCCCAAGGGCATGTCTGTGGGTCCTGGCTTTAGAACTGGCTTCCTCCCCGGGCCCAGCAGTGGCCCCGTCACAAAGACCCCTGTGAGTCTGCCCAGCTCTTCCCTGAAGTCTGGAGCTGCCGGGCTTAGAGGTTCTTTCTGCTGCTTAACCCCCTTTGTATAAAGACGAGTGGGGCAATCCAGGTGAAGTAGCGGCTGAAATAAATAAATGCTAATGGGAATAAAAAAAGGGAAACAATTCCAGAGACAGGACACACAAACATGCAATAGGTAGAGATGAGTTTAAGGAAGCATAACAGATAACTGGTGTCAGCAGGGCTGGAGACTACATGTATTTTACTGAAAGTTACTGAAGTCACCAAATTAGGGCTTACTGAAAATAGACAACTTAATTCTAATCTTCATCCCATTGTCTTCAGACTAGGGAGCTGGGAGATCCTAAGCTAGCCGTGATTCTGCCAGAGGCTGCTACCTGGCCACACTAGGGGGGCCTCTACCCCGCCTCGCTGGCCCTCCACTGTCACCTGCAGGACAGGTCCCTGGATGGACCTGGCTGACCCAGTTCTGCCTCTTTTCTCTTGTAATTCTCAGTAACTGTAGGGTGTGCCGAGACACAGCATCCCGAGACAAGGAGGAACGGTCTGGACCAGCCTGGGCTCTAGAACAGGACATTTTGTAACTCGCCAGCCCAGGGACCCCGTTTTCCCTGGGGTATAAAGCACAGAGAGGAATGCTTTCTGGGATCCCCCAGCCGAGGCGCAACACGGGGCACACGCTGATGAGACCCCATCCTCCCTGGGCAGCTTTCCTGAGCCAGGGGGGACCCGCGAACCCCAGGCTCCCTCGGGGCTTTGCTGCCTGTCTCAGAATGAAGTTGCTCCACCTGACTTGTGCGAGAGTTTGTCTCACGGAACCAGACCTAAGGATGCAAGTGGTGGAGGCGTGACGGCTGCGGCCCCCGCGTCCGCCTTGAACCCCTGCCGGAGCTGAGAACCCCTGCAGTCCCCACGTCCCCCCAGCGGCCAAGCCGGTCACTCCCTGGTCTCAATCAAAGGACACTTCCTTGCATCAGGGCCTTACTTGCTGTTACCTAAAAGGGGTTCCGTGCTCCAGAAAGCGTGGGCCCCACTGGGTGCTTCTTTCAGAGACTAAGCGGACCCTCAGGGATGTTGGGTGAAGGAAGAACGTTCAGCCGGGGGTGGAGGACGCTCCAGATGACACTGCAATGAAGCGTCGGCCCTGCCCAAGGGCACTGGTTCGGAAGGGGACAGATGCAGGGTTCAGAAGCTCCACGTTTCTACCCTGCTGACGTTTTAGCCCAGTCAATTTTAGAGCAAAAAGGCCTTATAATCATTCCTCAAAATGCCATGCTAAGAAAGGTTCTTTTTAAAATCCTGGTGCTCATTTTTGGCAGATCACATCTCTGGGCTCAGAAGCAAAGTGACAGGAGGGTGGAAGAGCCCCCGAACTGTCATGCACATGGAGGTTTGCCCTGGAAAACAGCCTTGGCATAGGTTTCCCACCGCGTGAGGGCTCAGAAAAGCCCTCGGTCCACTGCACACCTTTCCTTGTTGCCCACCGCCCCAGCCAGTGCTGGTCTAGTGACGGCAGCCTGAGCCCGAGGCCTGGGGACAGGAGTCCTTAGCGGCTGCAGAGTTGGACGATGCCCCTCCTGCGCACAGAGGGGTGAGGTGCTGCTGCAGCTTGAGTCCTGCAGGGAAGCCTCTGCAAGCCCCAGTCCTCTTCGCCTGCCCCTCGAGTCTGCACCCTGAACCTCGACAGCCCCACACCGTCTGCCCCTCCCTGCTCTCTGTCCGGGCCTTTCCTGAACCCACTCAGCACTGGGTTAGGCTTCCCACCTGATAGCCCAGAGCCCAGAGCCTACGGGCCGCCCCTCCCAGATCTCCCGGAGGTCCCGGGAGGAGCTCTGTGCCACGTATCCACGCGTGGATGGAACTGGACCCGCCCCCGGCTCCCGGACAGCGAAGCTGCGGTGCTGGTCTCACCCAGAGCAGCCCCACTTACCCTTTCTGGGTTTCGTGCCCCTAGATTCATGGGTTACAAAATGGCCCCAAGTGCTGTGACTTCACTGGTAGGAGTCAAGGCCCTGTCGGAGGCGACCGTGAGCCTGGGTCATTTACGGCTCCAAAGAACCTAGTGGTCATGATGCTCTCGTGTAAAACAACACTCCATTTCCCCAGTAAAATGTACTTGCTCAAGTTGAAATCAACTGTCTGTAAACGGAACCATGGTTTAAATGCAGCGGGAGGAACTCGTGGTACGTAAAGGAATCTTACGATGAACTGTTCCATAAATCAATGCCCACAATGTGATTGTCACATTTAACACGTGTTAAGCATTCTGAGTAGAATTTCCTTAAAGTTTGTATACAGCCTGTTAAGAGTTTTAAATAAATGATAGATTATTTCCTCCTCTTGTAAAAGTCGTAATACTTTATAGAGTATAAAATATATATTCTCCCAAAAAGGAATGAAGTATCTACACATGCTACGACATAGATGAACCTCAAAACCACTTCGCTCGGTGACAGAAGCCAGCCACGAAAGGTCACACGTCCGTCTGTGACTGCATTTCCGTGACCTGTCCGGAGCAGACACATCCACAGAGACAGAAGGAAGACTGGCGGCTGTCAGAGGCTGCGGGAGGAGGTTGGGGAGTAACTGCTTGGTGGGTCTGGGGTTTTCTTGTGGGGTGACGAAGTTGTTTTGGAATTAGAGAGGGGTGGTGGCTGCACAACACCGTGAATGTCCTGTCACTGAGGTGTATACTTCAAAATAGTTAATTTTTTAAACATTAAAGATTATTTATTTTCTCCTAAACTCTATAAAATATATATGAGTTTCTGTCTTTTTTCAAAATTTTTTATTGTAAAATACACCTAACAAAAAAATTTATCCTTTTAACCATTTTATAGTGGTGTTAAGAATATTCATGTTATCGTATAACCATTGCCACCATCCATCTCCTGAACCCTTTCCATGTTGCTCAGCTGAAACTCTGTGCCCGTCAAACACGAACTCCCCACTCCCCTCCCCCAGCGCCGGCACCCACCACCCCTCTTCGTCTCTGTGATTCTGACTACTCTCGGGACGTCATGTAAGTGGAATCACACAGCATTCGCCCTTTCGTGACTGACTTACTGCATTTAGCATGATTTCATCAAGGTTCATCTATGTCGTAGTATGAGTCAGAATTTCTGCCCTTTCTAGGGCTGAAAAATATTCCATTATAGTACATGTCACATTTTGTTTATCCATTCATGCGTGGATAGAAACGGGTTGCTTCCACGTTTTAGCGATTGTGAATAACGTTGCTACGACCACGGGTCTACAAATACCTCTTGGAGTGCCCGTGTGCAATTCTTTTGGGTATACACCAGTAAGTGGAATTGCTAGATCATGTGGCAACTCTATTTTTAGTTTTTTGAGGGACTACTATACTAGGATGCTTGTTACATCATGTGAATTCACTTCACTAAAAATGTATGTTGATGACCTATCTCTGCAGTAGGCTTGTGCACTTTTACAGTGGGAAAATACTGAAAGTTCTAACTTCTCCGCAGAGACGTGGTGGGAGGTAAAAGAAGCGACAGGATGGACGTCTTTCGGTTGCCGTTACCTGGCTCTCGGATGGAGTCTGGCCTCTCCTTTTGGGGTGCTGGGAGGCTGCCCTGCCGGCCCAGACGCTTTCTTCGTCAGAGGTGTCCACGTCGGCCAGGTACTGCAGGGGCGGCTGCTGGCTGCGGGTGACGTTCCTGCCTGTGGAGTAAGAGCAGGAGGAATTACATGGAGGGAAAAGCTGGAAGCCGATGGACATGTTTTGCCAAAAAAGAAAAGCGAGAGCTCACAGCAAACAAAGGCACAATGACGTTCTTTTGGTGCTGAAGTCACGGTAAGAAGAGAGCAGACTCCACGTCCCCACACAAAGGTCTTCGGGAAGAAAGAGGCCCCTGCCTGGCGTTCCAGGTGGTGCTTAAACATACTTTGTGTGTTTAAATTCCAAGCTGCAAATACTAATAACAGCAAATTCCACATGTGTGGAGAGCAGCTGGGGGGCCCGGCGTGTCTCCCTCAATGTGGTGACTTTAGGACTAATCTTTCCACGTCGGCAAGGCCACGGTCTAGACAGGTGGTTGCCAGGCTTCGTGGGCAGGGATCCCCTCTGGTGTGGCTTGAATGCTTATTCCTGGGCTCCAGCAGTGGCCGGGAGGTCATTGTCACCACGTCCTCCCCGAACATTATCCACCACCCCTCCAGGGGGCTTGGGTGGCAGCAGACAGAGCAGGAGGAGGAGCGCTCAGGGCAGACACTGCACACGCAGCGTCTCGGCAGGAAGCAGAGGGGCCTGCTTATTCCTGTCCCGGTGTGTAGTGGCCTCACTGCACCGCAGACTCTGCCGACAACCTGAGCCTGGGGTAACGCTGTCACCCGACGGCCGCGTGATTTCAGCCGGGGAGACCCTGTGCTGAGGACACGATTAGACCCTGCCGCACTCCTGAGCCCGGCGAGATGATAAACGTGTGTTGTTTTGGGCTGCTGATTTTGTGATAATTTGTTATGCAGCAGCAGTCAACAGATACAACCCAACAACACGGGATGAGTTGTATGTTACGAATCCCTTTTGCACAGTGCGGAAGCGGAGGCACAGAGAGGCTGGGCAATTTGGTGGAACAGCGTATCACATCTCATTAAACCCCAGCTCCGTGGACCGGGCGCTGCGCGGCGGAGGAAGAGGCGGTTACACTCTAGCGCTCCTTTCTTGCCGCATTCACTCCAAGAAACTCCCAATTTAACAAGACGTTCATATGTGAAAAAACAGTGTGTGAGAATCATGCCACGGGCCGGCAGAGCCGGGCTCCACGTGGGGGACCGCCCCACTCCAGTGTGCGCTCTCGGCCTCTCCCTCCCCCACCTGCCCCCATCTGCGTGCTCGGGGGGACATGAGATCTCGGGAGGGGATGAAAAGGCTGTCCAGGTCTTGAGCTATGACTCGGTCAATGTAGATTCATTTATTCATTGTTTTTGGGGAAAAGAAAGCCCCACCTTTTCCCTAAAGCCCCCAAGATTCTAATTAGCGTGAGGTTATGGTCCAAGGTTATGTCCCTACAACACCATGAGAGGGAGGAAGGCGAGCGGACGGGTTTCCCGCCCACGGCTGGGGCAGGTTGGCTGTGCTGTGATCTTATTTGGTCCCACCTTAATAGGGCACCTGAACTCCCGAACCCGGCGTCCACACTCCCTCGGGCCCAGGGAGAGACAGAGATTGGAGGATTTCATTTTGAAGCAAAACTGTCTGATAACAAAATTAAACTGAGCAAATTTAGGTTCTCAGCATTTAAAGATCTCCGGATTAACAGCCTGGAGCTGACTGTATGCTGGGGTGGTCATGCCCGGACAGGACCCACTCCCTTGGTGCACTGGCTCCAGGTGCCACGCTAGACTCGATGGTCAGGATGGGCAGTCAGGTGACCTGGGGTCCTAGTCATTTCAGGAAAACCTGCGTGTCCCCGCCTCAGGCCAGCGGCTGTGAACTGTGGGGCCAGTCAGCTCCTAAGCTGGTATTTCAGGGAGCTACAGGGGAGGCGCCCAGCCCAGGGACAGCAGGTGTCTCTGGCGTTTGCTGGGACCGCACACACCGGACAATCACGCCAAAAGGAGGGGATCTTTTAAATCAGCCAGCGTGGCTGCATAAAACAGGGCGGTGGGTGAGTTTCTCAGCGATCCACTCCCCTAGCAGGGCCCGTGTGGAAGACTTTGGCAAGCGGCACCCACCTGGTGCAGCCGCGATCCCCAGGGCCATCCTGCGAGGGCCTCGGGGCAGGCAGAGCTCAGCGAGGGCGTCCTGTCCGGAAGGCGAGAGGCTGTCGGGCTGCTCTCCTGGATGGGCGCGGCGCCCAGCGGCCCCGGCGTCAGCCTCCTCCAGGCCCGCAGCCGTCTGGGGGGATGCCTCGTCCGAGCAGGGCTCGTCTGTGAGGGACTAAGCACATGGGGCCGCTCCTTAGAACATGGCCTTTCCAATCCATGTCTTGGGGGTTTCCAGCCACCTAACTGACCAAATCCTCGACTCCCATCCACGCTGGTACTCAGGTCTCTTGCAGCTCAGTTCTGTCCAATTTAAAACCACGCCTGAAGCATTTATTGCCTATTCTGCATCGGTGTCCGTGCAAGGTTGGGTTCCCAATGACACCCCGGGCCAGGCACCCCACAGGGGATCGAAACTCTCCTCATGCAGCCCTGGGGGTCTCAGACTCACCTAGAGACCCAGAGCCTGAGGACGTGGGCAGGGAAGTTATTTTGGGGGGGTGAATTGTTCTGAAATATGTACCCCTTAATCCTCCAAGGTCAGAAGGTGAGAGTGGCAGGGGGAAGGCTCCCTGGCAGCTCCTTGGCTGCAACCCAGACAGCTTCGGGGGGGAGGGTGTCTCTGTACTGTGTCACTGTCCCCAAGGAAAGAAGTGCTGAGGGCTTCAACAAGCAACACCCCACAGCACCCTTCTGGCTTGACTATGGGTGGGGTGGGGTGAGAAGGAGGTCATAGGAAGCTCGACCTCCGGGCCAGCCTTCGGTGACAGTAGGACCATGGCCCCTCCTCCCACAGGAGTTGCAGACCAGCCTGGGTGCACCCAGCTCTGGCCTGGCACTGCCTGGGCCCGAGGTCTTGTCCCGGCTCTGTGCCCGTAGCTACCTTTACTGCCTGCCCAAGTGCCTCATGCCTGCGGGCTCAACATCTAGTCCTGGAAACAGTCCCATAAGGCAGAAATGATCACCCTTTGCCAGATGAGGGGAGGGAGCCTCGAAGAGGTTCCTGGGACCAAGGCCACACGGCTGAGAAGAGTGGCCACATGTCCTGTTTTACCTGCACAGCCTCTGCGGTTGCCCCGTGTTCAGGTGGCATCTCTAGTAGCAGCCTCTTCCACTAGCAAGTCTGCCCTAGTTTGCGCAATTAAGTTTATGACCCCCCACCAGTGAGACCGGAGGCAGGTACAACCCGGGCCCTGTCTGACCCCGTGGTGGACGCTGTTCTTTGTCCTGTCCTCCTAGGTCCTGGGGTCTGCCTTGCTCCTGTGCACTGACCCCCATTCCGGGGGCCCCTGACTCATCTGCCTCAGGCTCCTGCCTCGCCCCCCTTGTCATAGCCGCCTGGTCGGTCTCTCCAGACATGTGAGTCCTGGGAGGGGTGAAGTTTCCGAATCCTGCCCCCCCACTGCCCCGCTCCTGGTCATGCCCTGCGAGTCTGGTGTGGCCTCGCGGCCGCAGATGCTGCTTCTTGGCGTGCCACCTGCCCTGGGACCTGAACCCCTGTGGCTCTCGAGAGCCCACTGACCTGCAGGCTGTCCGTGGCGGCGGAGATGGAGGACAGGCGCAGGGGGCGACCTTGAGGCTGAGTGGAGTCATCTGAGTCTGCTTCGAAGTCCAGGTCGTGGAAGGACAGGAGGCGCTTTTTCTTAGCAGACACAAGACGGGGTGAGACTTGAGTCGGGGTCAGCTGGCCCGGGAGGACCAGACCCTCAGCTCCCCGACCCCACACTCAGCCCGGCAGCCTCCTCCTGCAGCACGTCCTCCTGTACCGGAGACGCCCCTGAGCCAGCCCAGGCCCCTGACGGGGCCGATGCCCACAGCGCCCGCCCCACCTGCGACGTCTGCGTCCCCAGGACCTTGGCTGAGCAGAGCAGCGCTGAGCTGTGCGCCCTGAGTGCTGGGCACGCAGGCCCCGGGGCCCGTTGGGGGAGGGGGCAGGCTGCTCCGGAGCTGGGTGGGGTGCCTTGGGGCGCTAGGAAAAGTGGGTGTGGTGGCCCAGGGGGCCAGAGGTGGGCGAGCCCCCTGGAACGCCACGTTCTTTAGATGCAAGAGCTGTGTGTAGTTCTAAATCCCTCCCTGGTGATAATTCTTTGGATCCTTTAAACTTACTATCGTGGAGGGAATATGCCAGGCACTGGATGGTATTCTGAGCGCCTCACAAATGGCATGAACCAGATCTGTGCATGTGAAGGTGACTACATCCCCCAGAGCGCCGAGCCCACTCTCGCCCGCCAGCTCCCCTGCCTGCACCCCGCCCGGGAACCGTGTGGGGGCAGAGACCCTGTTTGTGTCTACCACAAAAAATAAGTTCAACGGTCCGTGAAAAGCAGGAACAAACACCAATAAAGACAAGGCTCATGGCTGGCAAGAAACAGAAGCAAAAATGCTCCCAGAGGAGAGCGGAGGGGTCTGCTTCTCTGAAAGATGCGAAGGCAGCCTGTGCGGGGGACCCGCATGCCCTCTGGGACCCGAGTGCCCCAGGGCACCTCCCGGCACTCACGGCCCCCAGGAGCCACACAGCTGCTTCTCCAGTGGGCTTTGCCCATCCCGCAGCCTGTTTGGGGTTTCTCAGGGTGCAGGCAGCGTTCCTGTCTGCGCTCAAGACCTCAGGGACGGTCAGGCACGGGAACGGGAGGACTCTTTGTGCTCACGCTGTCGGGACCAGTGGAGTGGCGGAGAGTTTCAGGACATGAGAGCCTGAGGCAGGGGCTGGGGGAGGGGGTGGCCGGGGAGGACGTACTTTGCTGCCAAGGGGCCGGGCCTGGGCCTCCGAATCCGGCTCTGCATCCTCATCCGTCTGCTCGCCGTCTCCACCTCTCTCCCCAGGGCTTGGCTCAGGCACACCTGCAGCAGACACCTGCGTGACTCCACCAGGGACAGCCAGTCTGTCCATCCGCCCACCCACCCAGGCACCCATCTACTCATCCGCCCATCCACCCACCACCCATTCTCCATCTGTCCATCCAGCCACCACCCATCCATCGTCCCGCCTCCCCTGGCCCCAGCAATCTATCCCCCCACGGAGAAGCACCCAGGCAAGGCCCTCTGCGGCCTTTCAAAGATCTGCCCAAACATCAGTTAGATGGTCCGAGTTACAGCATAAAAGTGGCTCTCTGCAGGTCTGGCCACATCTGCGGGGCCCCCCTACCTTTACTGACCATTTACTTCTTGGGAAGCGGGAAGACCCTGGAGCTGCAGAGTGAACGAGCCTAGAGCTAGGTATAAACCGCTTCCCTGCCCGGCTCCTTCTCTGCCCCAGGCCCCTTGCTCACCCTGACCATCCGGGCCCGGCCTCCCCCACATGGCCCCTCATCGCCCCCTCTCTTGTTCCATTCATGCTGGCCTGGCCTGTGCCCTGTTTCCTTAGGTCACGGCAGAGAGTGACCCAGTAAACGGGTCCCAGTGTTTGAGAGCTGGAAGGCCCCTGGACCATTCATTGCCTTCCTATTTCTGGGGCCACAGAAGGCACAGCTGGCACCATGGAGCTCAGGTCCTTGGGCCCAGCCAGGTCTGTGGCCCTCCCCTTGCTCTCTGCACTTTGCGGGCTCGGGCATGAACAAGCAGGACAGCTGGTGTTCTGGAGGGTGCACTGTCGGCTGCAAAGGGGACGAGACCGCTGTGTGGTGCCAGCGTTAAGCCACTGTCTCCGGGCTGCGGCCGCACCTGCACGCCACACCCTGCTTTGCTGCTGCCTGAGGGCTCTGCCCATGGCGGTGGGGCGGGAGAAGGAGCATGCTCCTTCCTGTGATTCCGGCCCCAAGGCCTCCAGCCTGACTGCTGGCCCAGCCCCCTCTCGGCCCCCTCCTTGGGAGACTGGGTGCCACCTCCGTGTGGCCTCCTGAGAGCTGCTTGTTTCCATTCATCCCAGCCCCTGTCCTCTGCTCCCAGCCCGGGGCAAGGTGGGGACACAGGTGCTTCCTGCAGTTATTACCTCTGATGCCTCAGTATCCCCCTTTCGCTTTCTCAGTGAGCACCATTTTAACAACTCCTTGTACGGAATTACCACGTGGTTCTGTTTCCAGCGTCTCCCTGACTGACCCACTTGCTGTCCCCACCGCTTCATCCTCCTCTCTCGGGCCCGGGGCCCCTCTGCAGGGAGCCCCTCCCTTGGGCTTTCGGTTCCAGAGGCGCAGGGGTCCACGCTGGCCGGACCAGCCACACTGACCATCCCTGCATGGGGACAGCAGGGCCCGTCTCTTCCACGTTTGTCCTCAGGCTAGCCAGGGCCCGCACTGGCGGGCGTTCAGCGAGTGCGCGGACTCGATCGTCAACGCACTTTCCCAGTCCCCGCGACGGGAGCTCGCCGCGCAGCCATTCGCTCGTCCGACCACGCGCACCGCATGCAACCCCCAACAGCACTTACAACAGTCAAAATTCCAAAATGCGCAGGCCTTGGACGGCTGTGGGTTCCCAGGCTTTGTTCTCACCCAACAGTGACCTTTCATATGTTTTTGGGAAATAGTTTCATTGTCTGATTTTCCATTTATAAAAACAGAGATAGAAATGTGACCCAGTTGGGAGAACTGGGTGTCTGAGAGAAGGCTCTAGAACGAACAGCCGAGATTGGGTTACAAACACACGTCGTTACCTGTCCTGGCTGAAGCCAACCTCGCAGCTCACGGCTTTGCTGCCTCTTTGGCACTGGCTGGGAAGGTGCCGGGGCGCACAGAGGGGACCCACCACCTGCCCCGTCTTAGTGGGCCTCGTGGTCCTCAGTTTGACCAGTGGAGAGAGTCGGGGGAGGCAGCCTGGTTTATTCTTTACCGAAACCTGTCAAGAGTTTTAAAGGGGCCCCGGATGGCTGTATCTGAGCTCTAACTGGCCAGGACAGGCCGGCCTGGCTGGCGATGGCCGATGACAAAGCTGAAAGCAGACCTGGAAACCGCTTTTGTGCTCCGTGGACAGCGACTGCCTTTTGGAAACTCATCCCAAACCACCAGGGAGGAGGAGCCGAGGCGTGAGCCACACCTGCGGGGCTGTGGAAATGGGCTTTCGGGGGCCGGGAGGCCGACCTGTCAGGGTGACATCCCTGTCCCCACGGTGACCATGACGAGCAAAGCATCCCGGAAGCTCCCGGATCCTTCCATCTCCCCGCACTGGGGACAAGGGTGTGGGCGCCACTCACTCATCTGTCTGACCAAGTCATGCTAAAAACAGCCGAAGGATTTTCCGTGTTCCTGACACGGGACAGAAATTTTCTGACACTCTTGATAGGGAAGAGAAAACAAAAATAAAAGCCTCTGAGCATAAAGGACTTAGCAACTGACGCTGGGCGAGGTCTGCACCCTGCCAGGCAAGCGCAGGGCCTGCGGCCAGAGGGACCGGGGAGGAGGAAGGCACGGGGAGGAGGGAGGGCCCAGCCCAGGGCTTTGCTCCCCGCAGGGCACCATCCTACTCGGGGAAGACCCAG